ATATATATTTTCATTCCTCAGAGTACCCATAGGGCTGACTATGTCAAAATGCAGTCAGCTTTCCAAAATTTGGCATCACTAGCAAAGATGTCTACATGTCTACACCTGCAGTCAGGTAACATCCCACTGTAAGTTATGACTCTTTGTTTCCCACCTATTTTCTATAAACACCGATTATTCTGATTAAAGACAACATTTAATAACTGACACTATTTAGGCTGGGGGGTGGGTGAAGGAAAAAGCTCTGCAATTAGTTGACTGATGGAAGCTTTCTTTTGACACGTAAGAAAGGACTCAGTCCTTGGCTTGAAGCACGGATGAAGATTTGGTATTAACCGGTACAAAGGCAAATTCTTGCAGGGAGCACCACTGGGGGTCAGGGCAGGAGTGGTGCTGGAAGAGTTCAAAGGGGGAAGGAATGATGGTTGTGATGCCTTCATTCAATTACCTAAGCTTCAACATTTCCTACTGAGCTGGCTGTGTCAACTAAATCCCTGAGACTCTACAGTGATGTTTCATTGAATGGGACTGCCAACAGCAGCAGGACATTCAGGAATGCGGTGGCTGCCTTTCATTTTTAAGCCTGTGAGTCAATCTGCCCTCTCCATCATGTAGGGGCTGTCATGCCTTCAACCCACCAGACAGTTGCCAGAGTTGAACACATTTGCAAGATAGATCCGTTGTTCTGCTGGAAGCTGAGTTGATTGCTGTTTATGCCCAACTTGAAGGAGTGGTCAAAGAAAAGAAAATATTCTAACCATGTATAACAGTTTGTAGTGAAATTTTCAGAGGCTTTTGGGTTATGAAAGATTGATAGAATGGTGCCTTGTTCTTCCAGATTATGCACCGAATTGCATTCTCAGCTTCTGCCTTTAGGAGCAATGGTTAAAACAACAAATCAAAAATCCCCCCATTTTTCTTCACATGTTATACGGCTTAAATAAAATGATAGTGGGGACATGGCTGAGCCTGGCCTGCAACATGGGAGTGAATGTTTACTACCTCCAGCCAAAGTATTCTCCCTTCATTGCTTGTGACGTCTCCACCCTTCCAACAAAACCTTAACGACAGGACTGGCCTACTCAATGCAAGAAGAAAATGCCCTCAGAACCAGGCGGAGAAAGGCGGGAGAAGCTGACCTGCTTCGTTCCAGTTATGTTTCCTTTACAATACGCTCCCCGGTCCAAGGAAGGCAGCTGACCACAGCAAAAGGTGGCTTGTTTGCTGACACCATGCCCCCTCCCCAAAGATCTAGAGAGTAATTCTGCATTAAGGCATCTGGAAGAAAGGCGTGCTGGTCTCACGTACCGTATACATAAAGCGTGTAATCAGAATAGGCCGTCCCCACTTGATTGGAAGCCTCACAACGGTATGTGCCATTATCGCTTTTGTTTAGGCTGTCAATGTGGAGGTTTGACCCTGACACCAAAACGTGCTGGGGCATCTCATCGTCGACTCTTAACCACGTCACATCAATAGGCCTGAGAAGAAGACCCAAAGAAGAACAACGTGAAAGACCTTCCCAGGCCAATGAGCTATCCCATCCCTGTGGTCATAAAATCCAGCCCCAATGAGTCTGTCAGAAGAAAGAAAGAAAGAAAGAAAGAAAGAAAGAAAGAAAGAAAGAAAGAAAGGAAGGAAGGAAGGAAGGAAGGAAGGAAGGAAGGAAGGAAGGAAG